GTCTCGGGCCCCTGACACTTATTGTATGGTCTCTTAACGTGCTAGTGACACCCCTGCTTTTCATTGGGGGGATGTTGCATCGTCTGCCAAGTCTTTTGCTTTCGTAGTGAGTGATTTTCGTGTGCAAGTTCGGTACTAGTCCCTCTAGGATTTTCCAGGTGTATATAATCATGTATCTCTCCCGCCTGCATTCCAGGGAATACAGGTTTAGGAACCTCAAGCGCTCCCAGTAATTGAGGTGTTTTATCTCCGTTATGTGCGCCGTGAAGGTTCTCTGTACATTTTCTAGGTCAGCAATTTCACCTGCCTTGAAAGGTGCTGTTAGTGTGCAGCAATATTCCAGCCTAGATAGAACAAGTGACCTGAAGAGTGTCATCATGGGCTTGGCCTCCCTAGTTTTGAAGGTTCTCATTATCCATCCTGTCATTTTTCTAGCAGATGCGATTGATACAATGTTATGGTCCTTGAAGGTGAGATCCTCCGACATGATCACTCCCAGGTCTTTGACGTTGGTGTTTCGCTCTATTTTGTGGCCAGAATTTGTTTTGTACTCTGATGAAGATTTAATTTCCTCGTGTTTACCATATCTGAGAAACTGAAACTTCTCATCGTTGAACTTCATATTGTTTTCTGCAGCCCACTGAAAGATTTGGTTGATGTCCGCCTGGAGCCTTGCAGTGTCTGCAATGGAAGACACTGTCATGCAGATTCGGGTGTCATCTGCAAAGGAAGACACGGTGCTGTGGCTGACATCCTTGTCTATGTCAGATATGAGGATGAGGAACAAGATGGGAGCGAGTACTGTGCCTTGTGGAACAGAGCTTTTCACCGTAGCTGCCTCGGACTTTACTCTGTTGACGACTACTCTCTGTGTTCTGTTAGTGAGGAATTATAGATCCATTGACCGACTTTTCCTGTTTATTCCTTTAGCACGCCATTTTGTGCGCTATTACGCCATGGTCACACTTGTCGAAGGCTTTTGCAAAGTCTGTATATATTACATCTGCATTCTTTTTGTCTTATAGTGCATTTAGGACCTTGTCGTAGTGATCCAATAGTTGAGACAGACAGGAGCGTCCTGTTCTAAACCCATGTTGCCCTGGGTTGTGTAACTGATGGGTTTCTAGATGGGTGGTGATCTTGCTTCTTAGGACCCTTTCAAAGATTTTTATGATATAGGATGTTAGTGCTATCGGTCTGTAGTTCTTTGCTGTTGCTTTACTGCCCCCTTTGTGAGAGTGGGGCTATGTCTGTTGATTTTTAGTAACTGTGGGGACGACCCCCGTGTCCATGCTCCCTCTCCATAGGATGGAAAAGGCTCGTGATAGGGGCTTCTTGCAGTTCTTGATGAACACGGAGTTCCATGAGTCTGGCCCTGGGGCAGAGTGCATGGGCATGTCATTTACGCCTGTTCGAAGTCATTTGGCGTCAGGATAACATCGGATAGGCTTGTGTTAACCAAATTTTGTGGCTCTCTCATAAAAAAATCATTTTGATCTTCGACTCTCAGTCTGGTTAGCGGCTTGCTAAAAACTGAGTCATATTGGGACTTGAGTAGCTCACTCATTTCCTTGCTGTCATCTGTGTAGGACCCATCTTGTTTAAGTAGGGGCCCAATACTGGACGTTGTTCTCGACTTTGATTTGGCATAGGAGAAGAAATACTTTGGGTTTCTTTCGATTTAATTTATGGCTTTTAGTTCTTCCCGTAATTCCCGACTCCTATAAGATTCCTTTAGCTTAAGTTCGATGCTTGCGATTTCTCTGACCAGTGTCTCCCTACGCATAGTCGGACACGGGGAATGTCATAGAGATGTTTGTGTCTGGTGTTATGCCTGTGGGTTCTGTCACAACTATCAAGAAAGCGTTTTAGGTCAAGGTTGATATTGGAGTTTAAGGTCCTGTAGATGTAGATTGCACAGTAGTAAGTGTGGATGTACTGAACAGGGAGTAAGTTTAGATCTATGAAGAGTGGGTGGGGGTGTTGCCAGGGATGGGATTTAGTGATTATTCTTACTGCAGCTTTTTGTTGGGTTATTATTGGCTTTAGGTGTGTTGCTGCAGTTGATCCCCAAGCACAAATAGCATAGGTGAGGTATGGATAAATGAGTGGTATAGTGTGAGAAGGGCATTTTGCGGCACGTAGTATCGTATCTTGGAGAGGATCCCAACCGTTTAAATCCTTTTTTGGTTATATGTTGAATATGGGTGCTGAAATTCAGGTTGTTAAGGTATAGGCCTAGGAATTTGCCCTCATTATGTCTGGTAATTAGAGTGTTGTCGATCTTAATGTTAATTTGTGCATCTCCTGCTCTGCTACCAAACATAATATAGTAGGTTTTGTCAGTGTTAAGCGTAAGTTCATTGGCTGTCATCCAAGTCGATATTTTGATCAGCTCCTCGTTAACAATGGTGTTGAGGGTGGCAAGATTAGGGTGAGAGATGACATAAGTCGTGTCGTCAGCAAAGAGAATGGGTTTCAGGTGTTGGGATACGTTTGGAAGATCATTGATGTATATGAGGAAGAGCAGGGGACCAAGGACACTTCCCTGCGGAACTCCAGTATCAAGTGGCCGTGTTGTTGATGCTGTCTTTAATGGTGACATACTGATACCTATTAGTAAGGTAAGATTTGAAATAAGCAAGCGCATGGCCTCTTATACCGTAATGGTCAAGTTTGTGGAGTAGGATGTCGTGGTCTACTGTGTCAAAAGCTTCTCTTAGGTCAATAAAAATTCTTAGCGGTTAAAAGTACTGACTGATGTTGTAGTGGCCAGGCTTAAGCTTGGTTACAAGTGCTGACTGATGTTGTAGTGGCCAGGCTTAAGCTTGGTTACAAGTGCTCACTGATGTTGTAGTGGCCAGGCTTAAACTTGGTTACAAGTACTTACTGATGTTGTAGTGGCCAGGCTTAAGCTTGGTTACAAGTACTGACTGATGTTGTAGTGGCCAGGCTTAAACTTGGTTACAAGTAGTGATTGATGTTGTAGTGGCCAGGCTTAAGCTTGGTTACAAGTACTGACTGATGTTGTAGTGGCCAGGCTTAAGCTTGGTTAGAAGTACTGACTGATGTTGTAGTGGCCAGGCTTAAGTTTGGTTACAAGTGCTGACTGATGTTGTAGTGGCCAGGCTTAAGCTTGGTTAAAAGTGCTGACTGATGTTGTAGTGGCCAGGCTTAAGCTTGGTTACAAGTGTTCACTGATGTTGCAGTGGCCAGGCTTAAGCTTAGTTACAAGTACTGACTGATGGTGTAGTGGCCAGGCTTAAGCTTGGTTACAAGTGCTGACTGATGTTGTAGTGGCTAGGCTTAAACTTGGTTACAAGTACTGACTGATGTTGTAGTGGCCAGGCTTAAGCTTGGTTACAAGTGCTGACTGATGTTGTAGTGGCCAGGCTTAAGCTTGGTTACAAGTGCTGACTGATGTAGTGGCCAGGCTTAAGCTTGGTTACAAGTACTGACTGATGTTGTAGTGGCCAGGCTTAAGCTTGGTTACAAGTGCTCACTGATGTTGTAGTGGCCAGGCTTAAGCTTGGTTAAAAGTGCTCACTGATGTTGTAGTGGCCAGGCTTAAGCTTGGTTACAAGTGCTCACTGATGTTGTAGTGGCCAGGCTTAAGCTTGGTTACAAGTACTGACTGATGTTGTAGTGGCTAGGCTTAAGCTTGGTTACAAGTACTGACTGATGTTGTAGTGGCCAGGCTTAAGCTTGGTTAAAAGTGCTCACTGATGTTGTAGTAGCCAGGCTTAAGCTTGGTTACAAGTGCTCACTGATGTTGTAGTGGCCAGGCTTAAGCTTGGTTACAAGTACTGACTGATGTTGTAGTGGCCAGGCTTAAGCTTGGTTACAAGTGCTCACTGATGTAGTGGCCAGGCTTAAGCTTGGTTACAAGTACTGACTGATGTTGTAGTGGCTTGGTTACAAGTACTGACTGATGTATTTGTGGCTAGGCTTAAGCTTGGTTACAAGTACTTCTGGCAGTTTGGGACACACAGATGATGATCAAACTAAATGTAAATTATGTGATCAGGCATATGGTCGCTGTCTTGAACATTATGTGCTTAATTGTCCACTTATTGAGGAATACAGAAACAGTATAATAACCTATGTGACATGTCATGATATCTTATTAATGAAAATAAGATACCAGATATACTAAGCAAATTTCCTAAATTTGCTTGTAACAGATAAGTGAACTGTAGATATAAACCCATATGTACACCTATTAACCCTTTTGGGGTCTAGTTCCTAGGCCTTCCGTGTTTGACAATGCTCTTGCACTTCCCTCCACAAGATGGGCTGCACCATAAACTAGCCAAAATCTAAAAGAAAAAATCTAAATCTGCAGATGTACCTATTAGATTAAAAAACTTTACAGTTCTTTTAGATTTTAAATAATATCACGAGACATCAGATACAAATGGATGTGAAAAATTGTCGTTAATGTAAATTAATTTATTGTACTGAGTTCATGTTCAGCCGCTCGCTAAAATTTTAATATTAGTTGTTATTTTGCTTAATGTACTAGTATATAGTTTTAAATGGCTCAGAATTATAATTATAGTTTATTTCTTATAAAACATATAGTCAGTTCTTAAGAATATTGTTACATATATTGTGTAACAACATTTTATGTCGACACGAATGCAATTGAATTTTTGCGCCTCACTTTCCTTGGTAAATAAATCATACATTGTAATTATAGATAAAGTACTTCTCATAAAGTGACTTCTCATAAAGTATCTTTTAAAAATATTATAAATAAGTAATACTTGACAATACTTTCGGCGGGAAGAATTAAAAAATAATAGAAATTGCATACTTTACCTTGTTTACAATATACATATTGACAAGTGTCCGTGTTACAAGGAGCTTCTTTACAATATATAATATTATAAAATATTTTGTAATAAATCTAGTCAAAATAAACCTATTACAGCTCTGAAATCTTATATTTTATCTTCTAAAAGTGAGCAAGTAATGTGTCGGAAGAGTTGAGTTGTGATTGGTTGTTGAGGAAGGTAGCGAGGTTCTGATTGGGTGGAGGCGGCGGCGCTGCTCTCTGATTGGTGAACGGGAGCAGCGGGGGGAAGTAAAAGTATTCGCCTCTACTCGTCCACTGATAGTCAATCAGTGTTGAAGATCTGGATATAAGAGGTATAGTCACCATACTCAGGTGTAAGTGTCTCCGAGTGTCTTCTAGGGTATAAGTGTATCTTCCAGGGTGTGAGTATCTTCCAGGGTGTAGGTGTATCTTCCAGGGTGTAGGTGTATCTTCCAGGGTGTATCTTCCAGGGTGTAGGTGTATCTTCCAGGGTGTGAGTATATCTTCCAGGGTGTAGGTGTATCTTCCAGGGTGTGAGTATCTTCCAGGGTGTAGGTGTATCTTCCAGGGTGTGAGTATCTTCCAGGGTGTGAGTGTATCTTCCAGGGTGTGAGTATCTTCCAGGGTGTAGGTGTATCTTCCAGGGTGTGAGTATCTTCCAGGGTGTGAGTGTATCTTCCAGGGTGTAGGTGTATCTTCCAGGGTGTGAGTATATCTTCCAGGGTGTAGGTGTATCTTCCAGGGTGTAGGTGTATCTTCCAGGGTGTGAGTATCTTCCAGGGTGTAGGTGTATCTTCCAGGGTGTGAGTATCTTCCAGGGTGTGAGTGTATCTTCCAGGGTGTGAGTATCTTCCAGGGTGTAGGTGTATCTTCCAGGGTGTGAGTATCTTCCAGGGTGTGAGTGTATCTTCCAGGGTGTAGGTGTATCTTCCAGGGTGTGAGTATCTTCCAGGGTGTGAGTATCTTCCGGGGAGTGAGTGTATCTTCCAGGGTGTAGGTGTATCTTCCAGGGTGTAGGTGTATCTTTCAGGATGTAGGTTTATCTTCCAGGGTGTAAGTGTATCTTCCAGGGTGTAAGCGTATCTTCCAGGGTGTAAGTGTATCTTCCAGGGTGTGAGTATATCTTCCAGGGGGTAGGTGTATCTTCCAGGGTGTGAGTGTATCTTCCAGGGTGTGAGTGTATCTTCCAGGGTGTAGGTATATCTTCCAAGGTGAGTATATCTTCCAGGGTGTGAGTGTATCTTCCTGGGTGTGAGTGTATCTTCCAGGGTGTAGGTGTATCTTCCAGGGTGTGAGTGTATCTTCCAGGGTGTGAGTGTATCTTCCAGGGTGTGAGTGTATCTTCCAGGGTGTGAGTGTATCTTCCAGGGTGTAGGTGTATCTTCCAGGGTGTAGGTGTATCTTCCAGGGTGTGAGTGTATCTTCCAGGGTGTGAGTGTATCTTCCAGGGTGTGAGTGTATCTTCCAGGGTGTGAGTGTATCTTCCAGGGTGTAGGTGTATCTTCCAGGGTTTTAGGTGTATCTTCCAGGGTGTAGGTGTATCTTCCAGGGTATGAGTGTATCTTCCAGGGTGTGAGTGTATCTTCCAGGGTGTGAGTATATCTTCCAGGGTGTGAGTGTATGTTCCAGGTTGTAGGTGTATCTTCCAGGGTGTGAGTGTATCTTCCAGGGTGTGAGTGTATCTTCCAGGGTGTGAGTGTATCTTCCAGGGTGTGAGTGTATCTTCCAGGTGTGTGGGGTGTATCTTCCAGGGTGTAGGTGTATCTTCCAGGGTGTAGGTGTATCTTCCAGGGTGTAGGTGTATCTTCCAGGGTATGAGTGTATCTTCCAGGGTGTGAGTGTATCTTCCAGGGTGTGAGTATATCTTCCAGGGTGTGAGTGTATCTTCCAGGGTGTAGGTGTATCTTCCAGGGTGTGAGTGTATCTTCCAGGGTGTGAGTGTATCTTCCAGGGTGTGAGTATCTTCTAGGGTGTGAGTGTATCTTCCAGGGTGTAGGTGTATCTTCCAAGGTGTGAGTGTATCTTCCAGGGTGTGAGTGTATCTTCCAGGGTGTGAGTGTATCTTCCAGGGTGTGAGTGTATCTTCCAGGGTGTGAGTGTATCTTACAGGGTGTGAGTGTATCTTCCAGGGTGTAGGTGTATCTTCCAGGGTGTGAGTGTACCTTCCAGGGTGTGAGTGTATCTTACAGGGTGTGAGTGTACCTTCCAGGGTGTGTGTATCTTCCAGGGTGTGAGTTTATCTTCTAGGGTGTGAGTTTATCTTCTAGGGTGTGAGTATCTTCCAGGGTGTGAGTGTATCTTACAGGGTGTGAGTGTATCTTCCAGGGTGTAAGTCTATCTTCCAGGGTGTGAGTGTATATATGAGGGTTTGAGTGTATCTTCCAGGGTGAGAGTGTATCTTCCAGGGTGTGAGTGCATCTTCCAGGGTGTGAGTGCATCTTCCAGGGTGAGAGTGTATCTTCCAGGATGAGAGTGTATCTTCCAGGGTGTGAGTGTATCTTCCAGGGTGTAAGTGTATATACGAGAGAGTGAGTGTATCGTCCAGGGTGTAGATGTATCTTCCAGGGTGTGAGTGTATCTTCCAGGGTGTGAGTGTATCTTCCAGGGTGTAGGTGTATCTTCCAGGGTGTGAGTGTATATATGATGGTGTGAGTGTATCTTCCATGGTGTGAGTGTATCTTCCATGGTGTGAGTGTATCTTCCATGGTGTGAGTGTATCTTCCAGGATGTGAGTGTATCTTCCAGGATGTGAGTGTATCTTCCAGGGTGTGAGAGTATCTACCATGGTGTGAGTGTATCTACCAGAGTGTGAGAGTATCTTCCAATGTGTGAGTGTATTTACCAGGGTGTGAGTGTATCTACCAAGGTGTGAGTATCTACCAGGGTGTGAGTGTATCTACCAGAGTATATCTGTGAGGGTGTGAGTATAACTATGAGAGTGTGGGTGTGTCTATGGTGTGATCATGTCTGTCAAGGACGGTGTGAGTGTCTGTCTAGGAGGGTGTGAACGTGTCTTTCTATTAGGGTGTGAGTGTGTGTGTCTAGGAAGGTGTAAACATGTCTGTCTAGGAGGGTATGAGTGTGTCGTCCAGGGTGTTAGTGTGTCTACAAGGGTGTAAGTATCTGTAAATGTGAGTGTATTTTCAAGGGTGCAAGTGAATCTTCGAGTGTGTGAGCGTATCTTCATCTTTGAGTGTAAGACTGTATCTTCTAGAGTGCAAATGTATCTTCGAGCATGTGAGGGTATCTTGGAGCATGCGAGCGTATCGTGGAGCGAGCAAGCGTATCGTGGAGCGAGCAAGCGTATCGTGGAGCGAGCGAGCGTATCGTGGAGCATGCGAGCATATCATGGAGCGTGTGAGCATATCTTGGAGCATGTGAGCATATCTTGGAGAGTGCAAGGGTATCTGAGCGTGTAAAGGTATCTTTGAGCGTGTGAGGGTATCTTTGAACATGCGAGGGTATCTTCGAGCGATGTCAAGTGTGCAAGGGTGTCTTCGAGTGTGTGAGCGTGTCATCGAGGGAGCTAGCATGTCATTGAGGGAGCTAGTGTGTCTGAGGGGGGGAGCGTGTTGTTGAGGGAGCTAGTGTATCTATGAGGGTATGAGTGTGTCTTGAAGGATGAGTTAATATTTTAGGATGAGTGTCTATGAGGGTGGGAGTGGATCTATGAAGGTGTGTGTCTTGTGGATGTGATTGTATGTATCTATAATGTTGTAAGTGTACTCAACTATATGTGGTTGCAGCTCCTGGCCCTATCACCTCCCTGGTTGCTACTAAATTCACACACTCCTTGCTTCAAGAGCTCTATTGTACCCCTTCTGAAAGCTATTATCTATGAAGGTGTGTGTGTGTGTGTGTGTGTGTGTGTGTGTGTGTCTTCCAAGTTGTTAGTTTATTTAGGTACAGGTACACATAAGTACAGTTATCATACAAGTGTAATTTGCCTAGGATAACCCCAAAAAGTTAGACAAAGTGACTTATCTGTGTGTGTGTGTGTGTGTGTGTGTGTGTGTGTGTGTGTGTGTGTGTGTGTGTGTGTGTGTGTGTCTGTGTGTGTCTGTGTGTGTCTGTCTGTCTGTGTGTGTAAGAGAGCATGAGGGTACACACCTTTATATGGTTCCAGAGGCAGTTTTAGCTTCTGGACCCATTTCTGACCTTGCTGCTTGCCGGTTTCACTTCCCTAAGCCTCTTGGGCTCTCTTGTACCTGTTTCTAGAACTATGAATGGAGTCTGCCATTACTCTTCAAGGTCATTCCACTTTGCGGCCACTGTGAGACTGAAGAAGTACTTCTTGACATCCCAGTGACTTGTCTGTGTCTTTAACCTCCAGCTGTGCCTCCGCATACCTGTTTCCTGTCTCTCAGACAACCCATTCCTATCTGCCATATTAATTTCTCCAAGTACTATTTTGTATGTTATCATATGTACCCTGGTCCTTCTGTCCTCTAGGGTCATTAGGTTCAATTCCTTTGGCCTCTTTGTAGCTTATACTCTTTAGCTCTGGAACTAGTCTCATTACATACTACTTCTTTCTCCTGTTTCTTAACATACTGTACTTTCTCAGGTGTCGGTTCCATAATGGTGCTGCATACTCCAAGATGGGCCTGACATGTTATATAAAGTACAGTGGACCCCCGGTTAACGATATTTTTTCATTCCAGAAGTATGTTCAGGTGCCAGTACTGACCGAATTTGTTCCCATAAGGAATATTGTGAAGTAGATTAGTCCATTTCAGACACCCAAACATACACGTACAAACACACTTACATAAATACACTTACATAATTGGTCGCATTGGGAGGTGATCGTTAAGCGGGGGTCCACTGTACTTGGAATGACTCTGTTGACATTCCATAAGGCCACTCTCAGATTTAACAGATGATCATTAGCTACAGAGGTCATTCGGTTGATGTGAGTCTCTGGTGATATGTTAAGCACAGTGCTTGCTCCCAGGTACTTCTCTTTGATAAGGTCTGCCGAATCTGTCCCCAAGTCTATATTCTACATCTGGTCTTTTCCCCTTCCCCATTCTTCATAACCTTGCATTTGCTGGGCTTGATTCCAGGCAGCAACTTATCTGACCAATTCTGCAGTTAGTTCAGATCCATTGCAGCACCCTCTATTGGAGGGTGTGAATGTGTTTTTGAGGGTACAGTATAAGTGCTTCTCTGAGTGTCTCGCTTAATGATGGTGTCTTTGTGAGAATGTGTCTGTACTACTCACCTAGTTGAGGTTCCAGGGGTCAAGGCCTAGCTCCTGGCCCTGTCCCTCTGAGGGTAAGTGGGTCTGAGAATGAGTGTGTCTGAGGGTCTGTTTCTGAGGGTGAGT